AACCTGTGATCTTCCTGCATTTGGCATCATTGCATGTGCTGTGTGAGTCTAAAGAGAAATTTATGGACTAGTATTGGACATATGGCCTAAAATCGGGCTTATGCATTTAATCTGGACAAGGCTGGATGTTTTCTCAATATACTATTGATCTTTGATATAAAGCTTTCTCTTACATACATATGAATATCCCTGGATTTGTTTCTCTAGTTATCCTGGCTCAAAACACCCAAATTAATCACAGCACTATTCACAATAGCAAAAAGATGGAAACACACAAAATGCCTGTCTGTGGAGGAATAGAAAAGTAAACTGACACATATATACAATGGAATATGATGCATCTCTGAAAAACAATAATGAAACTACCCAACACCTCATAACATGAACAAATTTAGAAGACATTATGCTCAGCAATGTTATTCAATTTCATAAAGACAAATACTGCAAGTACTATTATAAGAGAAAGGACCAAGAAGCCTTCTTTGAAGGCTACAGAGGCCCAGGAGATGGGTGGAGGGTGGGGGAATTGACTAAAAACACACTATGCTAATTTTGCATCATTAACATAACAACATCATTAATTCCAAAATGGGATTATAACCACAGGCATAGATGTTAGGATATACATTACATATTTTGCAGGAATGTAATCCAGTACAGAAGATACCTTAAGACTTTTCTTAGTATTAATTATGATGCTTTCTGATTAAAGTCAATGGAAAATTAGAGCAACTCAATTCCTACATGACTGCTAATATCCCAGATTCTTTAGGTTTGGACTGAAATTGCTTGTTTTGCTATGCATGTATGTGTATGTACACATGTATGTAGTATGTACATAGGATATATCTTCTCTCAATAATTTCATGTCAACTTGAAGCTATATAAAAGTGTTGGGTGGTATTCAACCTGTCAGTTAGGTCACAGCCTCATGTTGACTCCTTGTGGGCGTGGGCTTCTCATAAGGAGTGCCTTGGGAACCTATCCCCCTTCCCTCTGCAGTCACCTTCCTGCTGGTTGACCCTGATTGCTGCCAGAGCCACCATCATTGGATCCATGGGATTTTGCACTCACTGGCCTGTGATCTTCCTGCATTCCACATCACTGCATGTGGCTTCGTGAGTCTGAACAGGGACTTACTGACTCGTATTGGACTTAGGAACATAAGTTGGACTGGGCTGGGATGTTTTCTTGATATATAATTATTCATTGATACAAAGCTCTTTCTTAAACATTGTGTTAGTCTTGGTTGACTAGACAAACAAATCCAGAGATACTCATATATGTGTAAGAGAGAGCTTTATATCAAAGAACAATTGTATATTGAGAAAACATCCCAGCCCAGTCCAGATCAAGTCCATAAGTTCGATATTAGTTCATATGTCTGATACCATTCTATAAATTCCTTTGAGGCAGAGATCTCTGCTGGATGTGGCCTACATCCAGGGAGAAAGTGAGGAAGTTCCCAGAATCCTCATGAGAAGGCCACACCCAAAAGGAGATACCATCAGGCTGTGACCTGATTGACAAACCAGACTCCACCCCTTCACTCTTAATATCTTCAAGTTGACAAGAGATTATGTAACTACCACACACTTCTGAGTGTGTCTGGATTTGTTACTCTAGTCAACAGGGCCTAACACAGCGACCCTATAAAACACAGTAAAAATGCCCCTGTGTGTTTCTAAGACTGTAACTCTGTATGTGAGTAGAAAGCCTCTTTCTTTCTCCTGTGGAGTGGTTGGTGGTTTTGAACTGCTAACCTGTAGATTGCAGACCATCGTGAACTGCGTACTTATGCCACCAGGGCTCCTTTAAACTTAATCAGTAAGGATGTTCTAATTCAGCAAGTTTAGGCAAACAGAAACTTCTGGGAAAGCAAGGTCATTTAGATAAGCAGTGGAGTGACAGACTCAATAATGCCTCCTTTCCTGTGAACCATTCCTCCTTTGTCCTATTGCTTAAAGACCTTTGTTCACTGTAACAAACCAGTGCAGGGACAGTAAATTACTTAATGTGGATCGTCTTCTTATTTTTACATGTATAAGAAAGAGCTTTATACCAAGAAGTAATTGTTTATCAAGAAAGTGTCCCAACCCAGTCCAACTCAAGTTCATAATTCTGATACTAGTCCATAAATCCATCTTCAGATTCATGTAACCACATAAGATGATGCAGAATGCAGGAAGATCTCAGGCCGGTGGGTGCAGAGTTGTGTAGATCCAAGGTCAGTGGAAACATGGCAGGATTCCTAATGTGGGTCTTCTAGCCAAAGTCTCTAACTCTCGCCAAATGATCTTTCCCTGTATGGGTCTGGCAAGAAGGTGAGAAAAGACATTGGTAGGGTTTGTCTGTGGCCTGTGAGTAGTTCCAAACAGGATTCCCTGGTGTGCCATCTGTTGTGTATATAATAAACCCTCTGAGAAGCAGAAGGAGGTATCATTACTAACAAGAGCCAGGAGGGGAGTACATCCCCTGGATCAGAGATCTCTATGCTGGGCATCTCCTGAATCCAGATGACAGCTAGACCATCTAAGGAGCAGCTGTAGATGAGGAGCCAGAGTATGGAAAAGAGTGATAGACTTCCCAAGTACAGTTGAATGGGACGCTGGCTTATGGAGTGAGGTGCCCTTGGTCACTTTATTAGGGAAACTGGACTTTCTGAAGTGGAGTTGAGTGCCTTCGGGCTGAGGCTACCTGGAGTGGGGTGGGGTGCCTTTGGGTACTAATTCAGGAAGCGGGACTTGCTGACTTACAGAGCTGACAGCCTTTGGGTTGAGATTTACAGTAGAGTGGTATGCCCCTTTGGGACTTTATTTATTGCCATAATTTATTCAATGCTGGCTCATGGAGACCCTATAAGGCAGGCCCCTCTGAGGTTTTGAGACTGTTACTCTTTACAGGAGTAGAAAGCCCCATCTTTCTCCTGATCTCAGGCAGAGTTGCTAGTGGTTTTGAACAGATTTTTCAGATAGCAGTGCAAAGCCGAACCAGTAGGGCTCCTTATTAGCCAACTGAAACTTTGTAATATCCTGGTAAACAGCTATCCTGAGCATTTGTCTGGCATTACAACTTGTTAATTTCTTTAATAAACCCTTTAATCATGAATTTTCCTGGAATTCTGTATAGATATTGCAATGGAAATTAGGCACTATAGAGGTAAAACAGAACATTGAGACATCACATATTCCCTCAAATTTGCTACATAATTAGGTTATATAACTTGCTTGATTATCTCTGAATGTTTGAAGCAGTTTAGAGGTAGCAAACCCCAGTTTCCTTCTGTCAAGCACTTGCAGAAATAAACTTAAGAAATTGTTATAAGATCTGTAAAATCCCCCAGTAAAATGATTTAAAAAAATAGAATTTCTCTAATCAACCTGGTCTCTGCCTTTGGCTAAAACAGTGACAGGACCTAGCCCTTATTTGCTGGCAACACTGTGGAGCTGGAGTTGAGTTACTTTGGGTTGAGACTTATAATTGAGTGGCATGCCCTCTGGGCATTCACCTGCAGCCTTAAGGGAGCATTCTGACAGTGCTCAAGAAGGCCAGGCCAAGAGGATGAGGGCCAGAGAGAGGCCTGCCTATATGCATGGAAGAGAGGAAAGTGTCTGAATCCAGGAACTGTATCCTGAGGATTTTTCACCTAATGTGTAACATGTGAACTTCCCTAATAAACTTCATAATCACTAGCACTGTGTGAGTTCTGTGTGGCCAATGCAATGAGTTTTCGAACCCAGTTAAAAAGTAGAGAGTGCTGTGGGAGGGGCAGTTGGTGTCAAAATAGGATTAAGAAGGATGAAGGGTAAAATCAAGCCTAACCCCTGTCTTGCACAGCTTTGGGAGGTGGAGGAAATCAGATGTGGACTCCATATTATTTTTTCACAAACCTCAATGAGATGGATTGACAATGGCTGCAACAATGACGTAACTGTGAAGATGGTACAAGACTGGGCAGTGTTCTGATGTACACAGGGTCACAATGAGTTGGAGCCAATTGGATGGCAACTAACAGCAATAACAGCATATACCCATGTTAAAGTACAGACAACATATGGTACAGACTTCACGCATTTAAAATAACCTGGGCTTAGGGGTGTACTCGGGCTGAGACTTCTTTGCCACTTCACTTTTATTTGCCTTGGGAAAAAATTTAAGCATTGAAGAAAAATCCTCAGGCCAGCGAACCCAGTGGTTATACAGACAAGTTAACACAATTTTTTGAGCTGTAAAGTGAAGGGTGTGGACTTGATTCAGTACCCCGCACCCCCAAAAGGGCAAAGAATTAAGAAAGTGAACAAACGAGAAAAGAATGGGCTTTCCCACAAGCCGCTTGGGAGAAAGCTGAGGTTTTTTACTTTTGTAGGTTGTCTTCTAATCCACAGGGTTAGTTCTACTCTGTTCCACGGGGCCACCATGAGTCCAGATCAACTCCATAGCAAGTTTGGCTTGGTTTGAGATTTAGAGTGTGCTTTGAACATGGCGCCTACGTTTTCACGCCGTTTCTCTGACTTGAGTATTCTTAAAATTTGTGGACTTAGTATCTACAGAGGTTGAGGTGCAGTACAAGGCGAGTCACGTGACCAGCAAGAATAACAAATCAACATTTTTTTCTGTGCACTTCAGGTGCCAGGCACATGACACTGAAGCCCAGCTACCACTTTTGGATTTTAATCGTCACATTTCACAAATGAGGGCAGGGTTATTTTCTAAGGTCACACAGGCTCGCAATGGAGATGGGCGAGTGACCACCATTGGGCAGGCAGGCTTGACGTGCACTGGGAAGTGATGAACTAGCTTCTCAGGCCACGTCCAGAAGGCGGCTGTGGGGCACCGGATGAAACCGGAACGGCCTTACGCGCGATACCCCGCTGGGCGGGCGCCAGGGGGCGGAGCGAGGTTGAGGGCCCCGCCTACGCCTGGCCACGGCTTCCCATTGGCTGTCAACAAACGTTCGTCGGTCACGTCCTGCGTTCCTCTCAGAAGTGCGCGGGGTCGTTGAGCTGTGGCGCGGAGACCGTGGGAGGCCCTCGTGACGGCCGGATCGCTGGGAGGGGCCGCGGCGGCAGAGTTGAGGAGTTGAAGGCAGGTCTTGCGGCGAGTCCGGTCGCCGCGGGCCCGGTGGGCGGGCAGGAGCGGACTGCTCGCAGGGACCCCCTTCGGCCGCTTGGGGGCCGAGCCCGGCGTTTTTGCTGCCCGCACGCGCAAGCGCGCTCTCACTGGCGCGCCGGCGCTTCCGCTGCTCAGGCGGCGCCTTTTCGGCCGGGCTTGGTGCGGAGGGGACGCAGGCGCCTTCGCGAGGCAGGTGGCAGGAAAGCCAGTTTCCTCCCGGGTTTATGGGTTAAGGGAATTCGCTTAGTTGTGGGAAACGCTGCTGTTGGAAACGTGCTTTCCAAGCGGTGGCAGGCTCTTCTGTGGCCTGCTCCTGCTGCACCGAGACCAGGCCTGGCGATAAAGGCAGACGGCGGGCTATGAGTGGTTGGGATCCCGGCCATCAGGGGGAAATGCTGTCTTAAAATTAATGTTACATACCCCAGAACGACCCCGAGCCTTCAGTCTTCGGTGAGGGGAAGTAGGGTTGTGATTCGTTAGCAATTGTTAGAAGAGACCTAACTGTACCTGCAAGCCCTCCTGTTAAGATTATCTGGAACCGCTGATCTTGGGCTCCAGGGCACCCCTCACACTTGCACTGAAATTCAACTTTCTTGAAGTATTATCACAGTAATGCTGTGCGAGTAGCACTGGTGGTGCTGCGGTTTAGGCTATGGGCTGCTACCCAAGGTCAGAGGTTCAAATCGATTAGCTGCACCATGGGAGGAAAAATGAGGCTGTTTGCTCTGGTTCCAAAAAAATTACAACCTTGGCAAAGGTTGTAGGGTGGTTATTTATCAGCATCCACTGGACAGCAGTAGGTATTGTATTTGGTTTGGTGGTATGTGAGTATAGTGATAAGTGTGCCAAGAGTACAAAACAGGATAACCACCGGAGATCTAAGTAAAAGTCTGTATTTTTTCTTCCCAGTTTTCATATAAACAGATGGCTTTTTCCATCAATAATTAAAATTAAAATGTGTGCTTATACTTTTGTCGATTTTCAATTGCATTTGTGTGTGTGCCCGTTTTCCTTACAGATGCCTGGTTGGTGACTTTCCAGATGTTGAGGTACCTGCATCCCTGGCCTAGACCCTTACTGAGTTGTAGTTGGAGCAGACTGTGCCTTCTGAAGCAGTATCTCTTTACAATGAAGTTACAATCTCCTGAATTCCAATCACTCTTCACAGAAGGATTGAAGAGTCTGACAGGTGAGAGATTCCCCCTTCCCTTTTGGGATTCTGTGTAAACAGATTCAGAGGCTTAAATGTAATTTTATCCAACACTTTTTTTTCTTTCTAAAGAATTTTGTTTTTGAGTATATATATATATAATACATATGACTTTCTACATGTATAATTAGAGACATTAAGTATATTCTTTGAGTTACACAACCTCCTTAGCCTCCTTTTTTGAGTTGTTCCTTCATCTGTATAATCTTTGGAGTTGCTATTGTCATTTGTTTCAATGGTTCACCCATCAGCTGTGGTTTTAGAAAGTTTAGAGTCCATGGAAATTTGGAATTCAGCTCATTTCACCCCTGTGATCAGCATACTCCCGTGGAACATTTGGTTGAAAGCTGTAATGGTAGCTGGGCGAGATTTAGTTCTTCTGGTGTCCTGGCACAGGAGGCAGTTAGCACACATTCCATATCCTGCATCTAGTCCCAACTCTTCTTGTTACTCCAGGCAAATACACACCAGGTGATGTGCCTTGGATGTTCACTTGCAAGCTTTCAAGATCTCAGGCATTATGCAAACAACTAGGAGAGAGAAGAGAAATAGACTGAGCTATATACATGTATGTGGAAACATGACCGACACTGTGGCTTGCAGCGCTGTTTGTGAGATTTATGCGGGAGCTTTCACACATACAGATGTTGAGTCTCGCCCCAGACTTAGTGATCTTTTGGAGGGTGAGCATCTCTTATAGAACCTCTCGGGTTGATGCTAATGTTGAGGAACTGTAATTTTAAAACGAGTGTCCTTGAATTAGCTTATTCCCAAAACGTCTTTATCATTTTTGAAATTGTCTTTATCATTTTTGAAATTAGCATGGTAAAGGGGTTGATTCTTGTAGATTGCGTAGGTGATCCTGAATTAATGGGCCTAGCTACAAGGGTGATTATGCTAGTGTTTCACGGAGTTACTTAGCTGAACAGGGTGAAAGTAGCAGAAAGTTGCTGCCCAGTAGAAATACAAGACATGAGCCATATAAACCAGTTGTTGAGTCCTTTCCAGCTGATGGATACCATGTGTGTCAGAGTAGAACTGTTACGTTAGGCTTTTACTCGCAGATTTTTTGGAGATAGATCACCAGGCTTCTTTTCCAAGGTACCTTGGGTGGACTCCAATTACTTTTTAATCATGTAATCCAATATATCCAAAATGTCAGTTCATTATTAAACTTTTATAAAATGATTGAGACATTTTATATTTGTTATTAAATCTTCAAGCTCTAGTACGTGTTTAACACTGATAGCTCAGTTCAAATCAGATTCACCACCTTGCAGATGCTCAATAAACATGTGACATCTGGCTACTATTTGAACAGTGCAGATCTAGAAGCTCCAGTTTGGGGCTAATATTTTAACTTATTTTTTCATTATGTGGCCTTCCTGCATTTTCTTTGAAACCTGGCCCAGGATTTGGTTTACTAGAGGTTTATGAATCCCTTAATTAAAAAAAAAAATTTAATTCAATTTAATTTTTAAAATAATCATTTTATTGGGGGCTCATAAACTCTTATCACAATCCATACATACATCCATTTTGTCAAGCACATTTGTATATTTGTTGCCATCATCATTCTCAAAACATTTGCTTTCTACTTGAGCCCTTGGTATCAGGTCCTCATTTTTCCCTTCCCTCCTGGCTTCCCCCTCCCTCATGAACCCTTGATAATTTAAAAATTATTATTTTGTCATTTCTTACACTGTACGATATCTCCCTTCACCCACTTTTTTATTATCTGTCCCCTAGGGAGGGGGTTATATGTAGATCCTTGTGATTGGTTCCCCCTTTTACCCCACCTTCCC